GCTGAGCCTGAAGGAACGGGGAGGAAATCGGCGCTGGGTCCATCCCTGAGCCGATCCGGTGTCCGGCTGCGGGATCCCTGATCCCAGGGGAGCTGTGGGAGCGTGGGAGGAGGTGGGAGGACAGGTCTGGCCCCTTCCACACTTCGAGGCTGTAGCTGCAGGGAACGTTCACAGGAAATCTTCCTCCCAAAAATAGGCGTTGTTCTTCTACACCTCCCACTGAACAGTGGGTACAATCCAGGAATACAGACTTTGGAAACGGATTCAGAGGAGCTCTGAGGAATGTATCAAAAAGTCCATATGGTTTTGCCAAATCAAGTGTGCAGAACTGGGTAAATTTAGCCCTGTGCTGAAGATCTAAAATTTGTCTTGTTTGACCCAAGTGGAAGGAACAGAGTCAGGAGGGACTCAGACCCACATGGATCTGATAATTCCTCCTCTCGGGAAGGGGAGGAAAAACTGATGAGTAACACGTTATTTAACGTGTGGAAACAAAAGGACACCTCAGATCCCAAGGACGGGCCACAGAACATGAAAGCTCTCCCCAGACAGGTCTAAATAATGCCACTTTCTCTCGCGTATTTAGGTGGTGAAATCACAAGTGACAAGCGGTTGGCGCCGCGACAGCTGGGCCCGTGGTTCCAAGTTTTCCCTCCTGTAACTCAGAAGAGTGAAAGCTTTGTTTTAAAGGAAGGTGGAAATTCTGACAATGAGACAGGAGGTGAAAGCCCCAAGAAAAAAATGACGCCTTGCTCATTGTAAAGATGGCAGGTGTTCCCAAGAGCGAGGTGTCGGTAAATAAGGAAAGGCTTCCCGAGCCTCCCTTCACCTCCCCGTTTCCAGGGAAGGAGCTGGGAAGGGGCTGGAGCAGCAGGAGGGGCTGAGGGAGCTGGGGGGGCTCAGCCTGGAGAAAAAGAGGCTCAGGGGGGACCTTCTGGCTCTGCAATCCCTGACAGGAGGGGGGAGCCGGGGGGGATCGGGCTCTGCTCCCAGGGAACAGGGACAGGAGGAGAGGGAACAGCCTCAGGCTGTGCCAGGGAAGGTTTAGGTTGGATATGATGGAAAATTCCTTCATGGGAAGGGCTGCCCAGGCCAGGGCAGTGTTGGAGTCCCCATCCCTGGAGGGATTTCAAAGCCCTGTGGATGTGGCACTTGGGGACAGGGGTCAGTGGTGGCCTGGGCAGTGCTGGGGGACAGTTGGACCTGATGATCTTAAAGGTCTTTTTCCAACCAAAATGATTCTGTGATTCCATGATTCTTGAGCACCTTCTGCCTCCCTCCTCTTGTCCCCTCAGTGATCAGAGGCTTTGGCAACAGTTCCCCCAATTCCCCTTAAAAAAGAGGGGGATTAGGATGCCTTCCTTTCTGGCATTCTTGCCACGTCAAAAGAGTGGAGAGGGATCAAGGAGCACAACCAACAGAGTCCCCCAAAATCACACAGCAGTACAAGGTGCAACTAGAAAAAGAAGGATGTTTAAGCACCACCACTAATTTCAATATAAGGATGCAAAAGGTTTGTGAAACTGAGTATGAAACACTGAAAAGCAACCCTTGTGTAATGGGAAATACAGGAACGAACATATCCACATGAAAGAAACAAAGGAGAGCCCTTTGGTGATAGAACTTGTAGATTTCTCTAGGAAAAAAAATGGAGATTTATAGCTCATTTCTAGTCACACAAGCCCTTTTAGTATACCCAGAAATGTAGGAGGCTTGTGGATGAAACGGTCCTGAGAACAGTGAAATCCCAGAATCCAGGAACTTCGGGTGAATCCTGGTAATTTTACCTTCCAAACCTACTCTCTTACACATTGAAAAACACGACTGTGCCTTTCAAAAATATCAGCCTGTGGTTATAAAACTCTCCCCATCCTCTTTTCTGCCCGCAAACTTTAATTAAAGTCCCCCCTCTGTTCCCAAGCAGCAGCAGCAGCAGCAGCAGCCTAATGGCTTCAGAATATTTCCTTA